AAGCTACCGTAGGGAGGAGCCCCGAGTGGGACCAGCTGCTACGTTCAGGGGAACTCTGGGCCCGCTGGTTCCCACTTTGCTCCAGCAATCATGGTGGTGGGGAGTGCACAGCTATCACGGTGTGGGTAAGATAGGGAGCTGGGCCTAGGGATAGACGAGGCTAGGGCAGAGGGCCTCAGTGCCTATACATTTGAGCTGAGTCCTTGGGCCACTGGATGCTCATGGCCGGATAGCCAGGAGATACCAGGGGAGAGCCTGAGAAGAAACCGGGGCGCTTGGTGAAGGTGGCGAATGGCTGGGGTGTAGGGCAGGTCAGAGCCCCGTGAGTGCCCACCACGTGGCGTGATGGCCCTGAAGGCTACCTCAAGGGGGAACCCCTCCACTGAGGTTACATTCAAAGTCGTGGCAGGCGAGATAAGGGGAACCCCGAACATCAGCCGGGGTAGCCTTTGGGGTCCCACCCCAGGCCTTGGACAAAAAAGATCACTAGTTTGGGCCAGGGCTGCAAGAGAGCGCCTAATAGAACAGAGGCAGGCACAATAAGGGCAGAAGCAATGGGGATGGTTTGGAGGCTCCTGGTTGTGGGCATGACCTAAAACTGCACCCTGCCAGGGATGGGTGGTCTGGTGGGACTGTTCATGGCAGAACAGTCCCCCAGAAATGCCAGGCCAGTTACCACCCCAGTGAAAGGTGAGGAAGGGTGCCATAAAAACCCCAGCCCTTGCCTATGGGTGGGTTACTGACAAGGAAAGAGACCTGGGCCAGGCAAGCCCAGAAGGGGACACAGGAGCCCAGTGTAGTGGGGCCAGCCAGGTATGGCAGCAGCCACCTGAGCCTACAGGGTAAGAGACCCCAGTGTTAGGGGCCGGGCATGGCGGCAGCCACCTGAGCTTACAGGGTGGAAGATCCCAGTGCAGGAGGCCAGGCACAGCAGCAGCCACCTGAGCCGCACTGGGTGAAAGAACCCAGTGGCCCAGTGAGGGACCAGGAGAGTAAAGTGGCCCAGTGAGGGGTTGAGTGGGTAGAGTGGCCCAGTTGAGGGTGATAAAGAAGAGTGGCCCTAGTTAGGGGCAGAGCCACTGACTTGGGGAAATAGATATATTGGATGGGATAATATGGAAATACCAGATGTGACAGAAATATTGATATTGACAATATGGAAATACTGGATGTGACATAGCAAAAGCTGTGAGGCATGGGACACATGTAAGGGGGGGTTAGAGCATGTACTTAGGCCCTTGTTATAAGGAGGTCAAACAATGGGCAGCCTCCCGCCTTAGAAATAACATTCATATTATTTTCAGCAAGGCATGGCAGGAAAGTGAGGCAGGGATTTAGACCAGAACAGGCGGCCGGCCGGCTGGCACTGAGACCCAGCCCTGAAAGGCGAGCCTGTTGTACATACATACATACGTGTGTGTGTGTGTGTGTGTGTGTATGTATGAATATATATAATGGTTACATGGAGTCAATTCTTAATTATGTGAACTTAGCCTTTTCAACTAAAGGCATGTGCCAACTCGTCATTTGTGAGGCAATAAAACTCAGTGGCATTAACACTTCACTTGGCCTTGCCAAAACTAAGCTTTTTAGTTCCTTCATTGTCATACTACTCTTGCCCCCACCCATTATCATTCTTTTTCATTTTTTATCTATTACCAACCACGCTGTATTTGGATGGAATAGTGTCACTGCTGATAAGATGTCATACTCCAGGAATTAAGCTGCTGAAATTGCTTTAACAATATACAGGGTGGCAGAATACCACCCTGTATATACACCACTTTTTTAGATCTAAAACTCCAATAGGATGTTTGAAATGGCTGTTTGTTTAGCTAGTTCCAAGATAATTACCTGGGGTTACTGGAGCTCTTAAAATATTTTAGTTGCAATACAATAGAATGCAGGTACTGTAGGTAATATGATGTGTACAGCATTTCACCTTGCTATTTAGCTGTGTTACAAAAGTCCTAAATGCTAAAACCTTAGTCTTGATTGCTGCCTCCTCTGATGGACTATTGAGACTGGTCCTGATTCTGCACCCTTTTTCAATCAGTAAGGCTGCAGTGTCTGCAAAGAGACCCACTAGTTTCATCTGGGCTCCATATAGGCACAGCAGGTAACTAGTTTGCTTTGCACAGTGGCCTTCTTGTATATAGATAAAAGAGAAATTTAGGCTATCACCCTGTAATTGCCTGTGTCATTCATCCAGACGTCTGGTACGGATGGGTTTTTCCGACTTTGCCATTGCTTGGGGAGAGGACAGTTTGCTGGGATAAACTCCAGAAGGCCCTCAGGGGTTGTCTCCTGCCACATCTTGCTGGAATAAATTTAGTTGGGAGGAAGATGGTCTGTCCTGCCTTTCCTGGTACCTTCTTTTACTCTTCCTGTCCATCTTCCTGTTTG